GTTTCTTCATGACTTTACTACTTGGCTTGAGAGTCAAAGACCCTCAGTTTCACCACTTCTCAGCTGGATGCTAGGAAGTAAAGATCTTTTCCTCTCTAGGCCACCTTAGTGCTCTCAGGTTAGTTTCTCTGGGCTCAACTGAAATTCAGCTAATGGTCTGAATGTCAAATCCAATGTAAGTTTCCTGAGGAATTTGAGGAAGACAATAATGACACGTTTTATTTAGATGACATCTAGCTTGAATCGTTTCATGGGCTCCTCGCAATAGCCGAGCAAGCAAGGGAAATTGTATTGCTCATTTTACAAATGAGAAAGCTGAGGTCCAAAAAATCATGTACTAGTTCATTAAAAACATGACTTCAAGCCCAATGTGTTTTACTTTAAATCATCTGTTTTTCAAAAATTCATTGGTCATTAATAAATATACGGTTCTACAAAATTTGTTCCTTGCAAAAGATTCAAACAATATAAATCATGCAAAAGCTCTCTTTTCAATTTTAATTTTTTATTCTGATTTGGGGGCAAATTTACAAAGGAGATTCATTTTACTCTCAACAGTTCATGCACATTTGGTTTCACGCCCTGATTACAATCCCAACAGTGAAAAGCTCTCCTCCCCTCTCCTCCCTGTGATTACCCCTTCCCTGTGTCCTTCTTATCTATGCCTCCTGTCTGTCCAGATTTCCCTCTATGCAAATGCTGCCCTTCTGATGTCTCATGGCTGATTGATCTAAGGGGTGCATCTCCCTGGGGTAGATGGGTGCATCTCCCTGGGGTAGACTTTTCTGCTATTTGGCTGAGAGCTAATCCATGGAAGTGAATCTAGTTCCAGGCCCAAAGGATAATTTGGGACCATAGTCTTATGAGTTCCAGCAAAAAGCTTCTCTTGCCTACCCACTCAATTCCTGGTGGAATTATCGTGTATTCTAACCATCTAGACCTTTTCTACATGTTCACATATATGTATGTGCATGTGTATAAATAATTTTGTTTTATTTTTTAACAAAATGTATGCGAGTGACATTATACTGTACATAAACAAAATGCAAACGAGACTACTGCCGTGGAGCCGGATCCAACTCATAGCAATCCCTCCTTGGGTTTCCGAGGCAGTATTACTATGGAAGTGGATTGCCCAACATTCCTTCCAAATACTACACATATTGTTCTGAAATTTTTCTTTTCTTTTTTTTTTAAATTTTGTTTCAGAACTGTGTCTATCTTGATACACATAGATTAATCCCATTCAGTTTAATCTACTGGAGATTATTTGAGAGTATGGCTGTACTACAGTTTATCTAACCTTTTTTTTATTCATGGGCATTTGTTTACAGTTTTTGGCTATTTCATTCTTTGCATGCTTCTTTGTGCACATGTGTCTATACTCCTCTGAGAAGACATACAGCAGCAGCATTACTAAGTATTAGGGGATCCACATTGAAAATATGAATGGCTATTGTCCAACTGTGCTCCAGGGGGACTGTGGCAGTTTGCACCTCCACCACTGATGGAAGAGGAGAAACGTTCTCTCATATCCTTGCAAGCACTTGATGTTATCAGTCTTTTTTCTTTTTATTAGTTTGATTTTCACCAACCACTCCTCAGAAGGAAGGTTGGGCAATCTACTTCCACAGTGATACCGCCTCGGAAACCCAAGGAGGGGTCGCTATGAGTTGGGTCTGACTCAACAGCACATAACAACCGCAACAAAGTTTGATTTTTAAAATGGTACCTCATCTTATGTCCTTCCTGCTTAGTAAGATGCATATTTCATATTGTGAGTTGCCTATTGATGTACTTAATCCACCTTTCCATTGATTTGCTGGTCTTATTCATTTGGGAAAAGTCTTTATATTCAGGCTTGTTGTTGTTGTTATTTGCCATCGAGTCGGCTATTACCCCTTTATTGTGTAAGTCACAAATATTTTCTCTCACATTGTTGTTTATTCTTTTTTAACTGTATATATGGTGTCTTTTTCATAGAAAATTTTAAATTTTGAGGAAGTCAAATTTACTAGTCTTTTCCTACAAGTTTTTTGCATCGTGTTTAAGAAAGTCTTCTATACTTTGTTACTTATCAATCGTCACATCTATTTCTTACATTTTACATACTGCCTCGGTAACCCAAAGAGGTGTCGCTATGAGTTGGGGCCGACTCGACGGCACATAACAACAACAACAACAACAATATATATTTGTTTAGCTCTTTAGCTGATCAGGAATTTTTTTCTGTACTTGTATGTGTGTAAATGGTATATCTTAGTGTTCTATTCCCCCCCACCCCCAATATCTGCCAATTCTGAGTTCTTACTGAAGTGTTGAGGTACTTTCCTTAAGTCTGTCTTAATTCCCCAGCTAATGGTCCTCCTTTCCTTCAAGACTCTGTCTAGATGGGAGAAAGAGAAGCAAACATATGGAGAATACCATAATGCAAGGCAGGGAGAATTTATTCCAAAAGACTAGTACAGATAAAAAAAACAGAGGGAAGGGAAGAGTGCTTTCAGCTGAATAATTTAGGAAGACTTCTTGAAGGTAGCAGTGCTTAAACTGTGAGGGGAACAAGATGTTTAGATTGATTGAAATGTGTATTATAAGAAAGGGCATGAATCTAGGTGAGGTGGAAAAGAAGCTTTGGGACAGGCTATAACTGAGCAGGGGTTGGCAACCTAGGAGGTCCCTGGGTGGCACAAATCATTTGTACTCAATAACTAACCTAAAGTTTGGTGGTTCAAACCCACCCAGTGTCACTGTGGAAGAAAGACCTGACAAACTGCTTCTGTAAAGATTATAGCCGAGAAAACCCTAAACCCTGTGGACCAGTTCTACTATGTAACACATGGGGTTGCCATCAGAATTGACTTGATGGGAAGGGGTTTGTTTCATTTTATTTTCGGTTTGACAACCTTTAGCCTATAGACCAAATCTGGCCACTACCTATTTTTGTACAATATGTGAGTTAGAATGGTTTTTAGATTTTTAAATGGCTGAAAAAACCCAAAAAAACCAAACTCACTGCCATTGAGTTGGTTTTGACTCATAGTGACCCACATTGGGTCACTGAGGCTGTAAATCTTTACGGAAGCAGATTGCCTTATCTTCCCATGGACCAAATCTGGCCACTACTTATTTTTGTACAATGTCTGAGTTAGACTGGGTTTTAGATTTTTAAATGGCTGAAAAAAGAAAAGAATAATATGATTTTGTGACATGTGAAATTATACGAATTTCAGTGCCCCTAAATAAAGTTTTTTTGTAACATGTTGTTGTTGTTATGTCAAACCCGACTCATAGTGACCCCTCCTTGGGTTTCCGAGGCAGTATCACTACGGAAGTAGGATTGCCCAACCTTCCTTCCGAGGAGTGGCTGGTGGGTTTGAACCGCCAGCCGTCTGGTTAGCAGGCAAGTGTCTTAGCTACTATGCTACCAGAGCATAGCCATACCCATTTGTTAGTGTCCTGGCTATAGCTGCTTTTGCACTATAATAGCAGAGTTGAGTAGCTGTGACCAAGACTGTACAGCCCACAAAGCTGAAAATATTTACTCTCTGGCTCTTTACAGAAAACATTCACCAATCCCTGATAGAGTGACTTGAATGCCAGGTTTAGGAATTTGACTTGTATGTGTTAAGCAAGGAACTGGGAAGCATCATAATTAGTGCTTTTTTAAAGAAATTTTAAAAATTTTGATGCAAGTATATGCAGCCAAATATACACCGTTCCAACAATTTCTACATGTGCAATTCAATGACATTGATTACATTCTTTTAGTTGTGCTACCATTCTTACTATCCTTTTCCACATTATGCCACCACCATTATCACAAACTCAATATCTCCTAAGCTTCCCATGCAACCTTTTGAGTTTCCATTGTTAATTTGATCTCACATAGATAATGCTTTTAAAGAGCACATGCTCAAAGCAGATGTACCTTATTAATTAAAATACTCATTTTGTGGTTCTAAAACTTCAGGGAATAGTTTTGATTTAAGGATAAAGATTATCTCAAGGCAACTATTTGGGGGCCTCATCCAGCCTCAGTGCCTCCAGAAAATCTGGATTCCGTTGAGAATGTGAAATTCTGTTCCTCATTTTTCCCTCTTTTGATCAGGATTATCCTATAGAATCCTTGATGATAAGTGTTTTGTTTAAGAAAGATGACTGTTAGGGAGTTGAGGAAGTTTGCCAGTAAGAGACAGAGAGATGCTGTAAGTGGCCTCTGAAACAATCCAAGCAGAAAGAAATGGAGTTTCAATTCTAGAAGTGGGACAAGAGGAGGTGGAGATGAGAATGATTCATTCATTTATGGAGACATCTTTGTTGAGAGTTTATTGTAAGTGGGGCACAGTTCTAGCTGCTGAAAGATATAAGAAGGCAGAAAAGCCAGAGCATGGCAGCTCTTTGGATGTGTGAGGTGTAAGCACATAACAGAGCTGGCAAAATGTAGTGTTCAGAGAAATCCTTCTCCCTTCTCCTACATCCTGCCTCTGCCCAGGTGGAGGGGACTTACACTCGAGCTTCCTCTGTCCACATCTGGAGCCTCTCTTGAAACCCTTCCTCAGCTCTCCTCACTGGAGGTAGAAATATTCCGTTAGTGGGCCAGTGTCTGCCATTTTTGTGCGTGTTCACTGGTGTATGGGCTGCTGCAGGAGTGCTCTGGTGTAGCTCTCCTTTGCCTGTCCAGTGTTCTTGCTCTCTGGCCCCATGGGAACCACCCTCAAAACCAGCCCACTTCACCCTCACTTGCCTCCAGCCTCTTGCCCCTGCAGCAGGCTGGGAAGGCACAATGCTGGACTGCTCTACAGATCCAGCCACCCCTCACTTTCCTCCCAAGGACACTAGTGGGCTAACTTGGGGTCTGCATTCAGGGTTGAAAACTGCCCTTCAGATCAACCCATTGGGGTACAGCATGCCAATTTTCAATGTTTACAAAAATAATAGGCTACCAATGCTCATTGATACCAATATCACCATCAATGAAAAGCCATTGAGAAAAAGTCATGTTTTTAAAACAAAGTTCACTTTATTATATTATTTTTACACAGTAAAAGAATGAAATGCAGACTTGTCTAAATTCTCTTGCTGACTCTCTTGAAGACAATGTCACCCAATGTCATGGTCTGAAAGCCAGAAAAGAAAGAAAAGATGTTAGTCTGATGTTCAATTTTAAAAATTAATTAACTCTACAAAATAGCCCCAAATATGCTAACATGTGAAACAACTCAAAAATTATTGTTTCCTGTAGAACCAGAGGAATGGTTGCAGCTTTGTCTAAAATCCTATGTCACGTCTTTGTCACTTCATTTCCTCATGTGGAAAGGTCTCCTGCCTTTTATTGAATTCTTTTTCACATTAATGACTGTTACAGCAAGACCAACTAATCCAATCCAATCTAATCCAGTCCAATTTCTCAATGTTTTCTTTAGCACCTACTATGTACCAAACAAGGGGCCCTCGTGGCACAGTGGTTAAGCAGTCAGCTGCCAACCAAAGAGTCAGTGGTTCAAACCCAGCTGCTCCACAGGAGAAAGATGTGGCAATCTGCTTTCAAAAAGATTTACAGCCTTGGAAACCCTATGGGGAAGTTCTATTCTGTCCTATAGGGTCTTTATTCTGTCCTATGTGAGTCAGATTCAACCTGATAGTAAGTTTATGTGCCATACATGTGTTGAGCACCAAGGATACATGTGCATGGTAATATCTAGGTATTCAACCGGAAGTGTAGTTGGTACTCCATAATATTCCTCCCAAAGCTGTGAAGCATACAGAAATATTGGATCCATCAGCTTTGTGGTTACTGAGGACTATTTCCTCTCTGCCCTCTGCTGGTTCTCTTGAACAGGAGTACTGTAATGATGTGAAATGTTGTCAGAACAAACGAAGGAATCCTTTAGCTTCCAGCAGCAAAACGGAGTGGAAAGATCTGGATTTTAGCCCTGCTTCTAACACTTATTAGCCGGGTGGTCTTGGATGAGTCAGTCTGTCTATAAAATCCCTTATACTGCCTCCCTCACAGGGAGATGAAAACTAGTGAGATGGGGCATATGGAAGGGCATTGGGCAGGACTGAATAGAGGACAGGCTAACCTCTTCCTACTCTGCTGTGAATGCTGGGTTGGTGGATGGGCACCGCATGTTTCACAGCTGACTTCCACACTCTCCCTAGTTGAGGGATTTTTTTCTACTTGCACAAGGTGATGACATACCTTAAGGACTGTGCTTTACCTTCTGTTACTTCCTAAAGCACATTCTGGGAGCAAAGAAGAGCCAGGAGGACATAACTATAGGAGAAACACTGCACAATTCACCCCAAATCTGGGACAGGGTGGCAGACTGCTGACCCCAAGGACGACTGAATAACTGGAGAGCGCCAGACTCATAAAAAACGAAAACAAAACTAGTTGCCATAAAATCAATTCTGACTCATGGTGACCTCATGTGCTGCAGAGAAGAACTTCTCCATAGGGTTTCAAGGCTGTGACCTATCAGCAGCAGTCACCAGTCCTTCTGAGATGCATCTGGGTGGGTTTGAACAGCCAACCTTTGGGTTAGTAGTTGAGTGTTTGACCATTAGGGCCACCCAAGGACTCATAAGTTGCTTATAAAATGATCACAAATATGATTCTCCTTATAAATGCCAAACAGGCACAGGTATTAATTAAATGTCCAGGACTTACAGGGCAGATGGAGGCCTCCATGGCTTCTTGGTTAGTGCTGAGTCAAGAGGGGCAGGATTATGGCTAATAATTATGGCAATGTTATAAAACAGGAAAAGCAATGATGGAGCCCACTTCTGGACAAACAAAGCCTTCCTTTGGTGTGGGTGCTTTGTCAATGGAAAACATTGCTGCAAGAATCACTGAAGCCCACAGGAGGGCTCAGTTGATACCTGCTGAATGAGGGGACTGCTGCCTCCTGTTGGTGAGTGAGTCTTGTGGCTACGTCCCAGTGGAGACTGTAGGGGGTGGGCTGTGCGGATGGTGCTGCACAACCCTGTGCCTCCTCTTACCAAGCACCTCTCTTAAACCATCCATATGGGTATGATCCCATCATGAAAGTGGTAGCCAGCCTAAAGGAACTGAGGAAAGGTGGGGAAAATATACCAGGTTGGGCTGCTGTAGCATATCTAGTGCCTTAGGTGGATTAGAAAAGGGCTCCCCTTCCTCAAGATACTTCACTTCTATCTGTTTGAAAACTATCCTAGTACACTGCACTGGTTTTGTTAGACTAAGACACCTTATTGGCATCTGCTGTAAAATTGTAAATATAGTGTAAGTGGTTTCCTCTGGGGTTATATAGTACACAGCTGTGAATGGCAGCCCTGTGAGACAGACCTAGCTGATAAGGGATTCTGGGTCTGCATTCCCTGGTTATTTGTTGTCTCAGTTTCCTTATTTATAAAGTTTGGGGATGTTGGGAAGATTGGGGATGATGTGTGGAAACCGCCTGGCATATATGAACCTCAGTAAATGGTAGTAGATCTTCCTAATAGAAAAGATAGAGTAGGGGCTGGGACTGCTCTTCATCCTCCACCCACTCTTTCTCCTCAAGTATTGGGAGCACAAGATGAGAGTGCCAACTTACACTGGTGATTATGTCACCGTTGAGTTCGGTCACTGACTTGATGCCTTTGAAAGTTGTCACCAGTTTATTATCACCTTCCATATGAACCACTGCCTGCAGAGGACAGAAGAGTTGGCATGTGAAGAGGAGCCTGGAAAAGGATCAAGGGACTTGCTAATGAGGTTGCCTGCCCTTCAGGGACCTCTGCTTACAACAACCAATGTGCCCATCTTCACACATCCCCAATTCTTCTATTGTCTCTCTCTAAGAACCAAAGAAAATATTAGGGTATTTTTTGTCAGAATTTTTCTTTATTGCTTGTATCCAGAAATAAGCATCAGACATCCAAATGGTCTCAAATACAAACACTAAAATAAAATTGAGTAAAATCTCAATTCTTCAAGCTAACGGAGGGAGGTAGTGGTCAAATCCAGAATGCCAGCAGAGAGAACACATATTTTGCATCAGTATATAGTGTTTCCTCCAGAAAACTTATCTTTCCTATTTTGGGCTCTTTTCCAAGCCTAATACATCCAGGAAGAGATGAAATAGAGACCCAGTAGGGAGCAGAAGATGCTCATCGAAATAAAAAATGTTCCATCAAAATGAACAATTGGAAAAGGACCTGGTAGAACACATGGTGACCTGCCCCTTACTGTCACTCCATCAGCATGGGATATCAAGAGATTTTCCCTCCTAAAATTTGTCACAGATTTCCTGACTTGTAATGCTATATCTGGAGAGGCAGAAATAAAGAGAGATCAGAAGAAGGAAAAAACAAAATGTGTTGAGACAATGCATAAAGTTTTCTGGGGGAGGAGTGAAGATGGATTTTCCCTGGTGTTTGCTTCCTTGGGGTGTGCTTCTCTGAAGGAAGGAGAGAGGTCCCCAATGACTGACACCTCCCCCCATGCTTGGACTTCTCTGGTATCGCCTGCTGACCTCTCACACAGCCAACATCCAGCTCTCATTCCGTATCTTGAAGCAGTTCAGAGGAGGTAATGGTGCCCTACTGCCTTCAGTCTGGTAAAGGTGATTTTTCCCTTTTACTGATGTGGTAGCTGAGGTCAGGGAGTTTAGTGACCAGCTCCTGTAAGGCTGAGCCCTCTCTGTACCTTTGATATGTTGATCTTGTGAGCACCTGCTGCAGGAAATCTCTCCCCATTACCATAGCTCTAGCCTCAGTAAAGTACTGTTTACTATGGGCCCAGGGTTGATGTCAGGGCTTTGTTAAAGGTTTTTAACTGAAACCCACACTTGCCCCACTGCTAGGCCCTGCTTTGAAAGCAGAACTTTGAGAGCAGAGAGAACCGTAAGTAGGAAAACCTGAGACTTAGAAACTTTCTCTGTGCCTGGTTCCTCTCATCCGTATGAGCACACTCAGATTTGTGGGCCAGATAGTCCCCTGGACAGTACCCAGGGAAGGTAAGAGCAGCTTCATATCTTCTTCCCTAAGAGTTGTCTTTGTGTCTTGGCCTCTCATCCCAGAAGTGGAATCGGAGACAGAGTGTGTATGACGGGAACCATGATGTGTGAGCCTTGAGGAAGGAAGTCCTGGGGCCAAGTTCCAGGGAAAGTTCCAGAGCAGAGGGGCATGTCTTACCTTGACCTTCTCACCAGTCATGGTCTCTAGCTCACACTCTTCCCCAAGGGTGAACTCATTGTGAATCACTTTGGACCCAGTGGTGATGGTGAGCTTGAAGTGCTTCCCATTCTGCACAATTTCCGACATCCCCTTGACGTCCTTCCCCTTCTGGATGAGGTCATCAGGAAGACCTAGTGGAAACCACTTGATACTTAGAGATGGTAGTGGTGGGAGTTGCAAGAGGTGGTAGGAAACAGAAACTTTGTGTCTTGGAGGGAAGAGGGTGTGGGTGTGGTGTGGTTCTCTCCAGCAGCCATGAGGCACTTCCTATAGTCCTATTGGGAACATGGGCTTTAGCCTCTGAAAGGGAAGGGCAGTGGCCTGGCCTGACCTGCCTGCTATCTTTCCAGTTAATTTCTAAAAGGGATACTCCTCTGGCCTGGAGAATTGTTCCTCTTGTGAGCAGCTTGGTTTGGTTTTCTCTCATTTTACTTCCTCACTTCTTCCATATTTAATGCCAGGAGACTTTGCTCTTTGAATATACACATTTCATCCATCACACTCATGTCACCCATGTACTTCCTCTCTCTGCACTTGCAGTCTTCCCCAACTTTCTCCCTCATGGCACTATCCCTTGTCACGTTGTGCCCCTTTGCTCACAAAAAGTTGGGGAATCATGTACGGGAGGGTGTGGTGCTCACAGGAGGGTGTGGTGAGATCGCTTGTGGTTGAGGCCTGGTAGTGATAAAGATGAGCCTTGAGTTGAGCCTGGAAACAAGAGCAGGTATTTACTAGGTAGGCTGGGGACAGGAGGTATGATCCAGGTGAGGGAACTTTCCCTGGAACCTGGCCCCAGGACTTCCTTCCTCAAGGCTCACACATCATAGTTCCTATCATACACACTCTGTCTCCAATTCCACTTCTGGGGTGAGAGGCCAAGACACAAAGACAACTCTTAGGGAAGAAGATATGAAGCCGCTCTTACCTTCCCTGGGGACTGTCCAGGGGACTATCTGGCCCACAAATCTGAGTGTGCTCATACGGATGAGAGGAACCAGGCACAGAGAAAGTTTCTAAGTCTCAGGTTTTCCTACTTATGGCTCTCTCTGCTCTCAAAGTTCTGCTCTCAAAGCAGAGCCTAGTAGTGGGGCAAGTGTGGGTGTCAGGGAGAAACCTTTAACAAAGCCCTGACATCAACCCTGGGCCAGTAGTAAACAGTACTTTACTGAGGCTGGAGCTGTGGTAATGGGGAGAGATTTCCTGCAGCAGGTGCTCACAAGATCAACATATCAAAGGTACAGAGAGGGCTCAGCCTTACAGGAGCTGGTCACTAAACTCCCTCACCTGGATCATACCTCCTGTCCCCAGTCTACCTAGTAAACACCTGCTCTTGTTTCCAGGCTCAACTCAAGGCTCATCTTTACTACTACCAGGCCTCAACCACAAGAGGTCTCACCACACCCTCCTGTGAGCACCACACCCTCCCGTACATGATTCTGGGAGGCATATGGGGTTAAAGCAGGGTTTCTGAGAATCAGTGCCTATTTCAAATCCCAACTCAAACACCTCCTACCTGAGTGACTTTGGTCAGAGTTATGTAGAGCTCTAGTCCTTAGTTGCCTCAGCTACAAAATGAGAAGATGATAGTACCTAACTCAGATTTTAGTAAGGATTAAATGAAATATTGCATATTAAGTGCTTAGCATAATGCCTGGCACAGAGTCAGCACATAGAATAGAGTTGTTGTCATTAGGTGCCATTGAGTTAACTCTGACTCACAGTGATCCTATGTACAACAGAATGAAACATTGCCTGGTTGTGCACCATCCTCACAATTCTAGCTGTACTTGAGCCCATTGTTGCAGCCACTGTGTCAGTCCATCTTGTTAAGGGTCTTCCTCTTTTTTGCTGAGCAATGATATCCTTCCCAAGGGAATGATCCCTTCTGACAACAGAAGGGTGTTGTTGTTGTTATGTGACTAGGAGGTACTTAATCACACTTATTTCTTCTCTTCCTCACTAAACTGTGGCCTCCTTGGAAATGTGGCTCATTGTTATCTATTTCTCTCATCATTATTGAGCACAGCACCCAGCTTTTGATGGGCCTTTCAATCAATGTTGTTTAGAAGATAGAATGAATGAATGAATGAACAAATGAATAGATCACTCATTGAGGTAACAACAGAGATAGGACATCAGTCCAACCAGACCCCTAGTTTAGTGCTCTTTCTACTTGCCTACAGGGTGACCTTGCAGTATTAGCACAAGCCACAAGTGAACACTAAAGTTAATAAAGTGCTCCCTGGTCTGCATGTAGCCTGATTTCTCCCATCCCAGTATCTCCTATGGGGCCAGATCCTTGTTGCTGTGACCCACAGCCTTGGTACCAGTCCAGGACTCACCGACTGCCTTCATGAAGGACTCAAAGTTTTCCTGGCTCTGCACTTGGTATTTGCCGGAGAAGTTCATGGTGGTGATGAGGCTCCTTCTACAAGGCTGATCTGAACAAAGCTCTGTGGGTTGGGCTGCTCTGCATGGGCTGTTTTATAGGAGGCTCCTTCCCCTTCCAATATCTGCCACAGGTCAGCTGCTGTCAACTCCTTTATGGCCAGGCTCAAACATTAACTCCTGAGAGCAATGGTCAGGGATAATAAACAGGCTGGTTACTGCAGAGGTTTGCTCTAATTCAGAAAATGCTAATGAGTGTCAATCAACTGCACAGCCCTATGGCCCTGCTGCTTTTATTGTGACTCCCTTTGGTAAAGTGCATGTATGTGTATATGTATGCACACACACACAAATGCACAAGCATATACACACATATATATCAAAGGATACCAAAGAATGCCTTTAACTTCAAAATCACACCTTATTTATTCATATATCTTTATTACCTCTTCCCTTCTTTATTTTTCTACCAACTTAATTTCTGCAGAGTTGTCATCAGTTCCTAGTGCTATTTTATATTCTGGGAATTCCTCCTTGATGGTTATAAGCTCTTCCACAGTCCAAATAAATCTCCCTTTTACAGCCTAATAGCAGTAAGTACTAAAGGGCAAGTGTAAACTATTTAAACCAGGTTGTGGAAAATGAGATGTATTTTATTAGGCAGAGACAAGATAGGGAAAGAAAGAAGATAATACCTGTTGACTTGTTCCCATCCCTGACTAGAAGGAAGTGACAAGAAATTTGGGGTTCTATATTGGGGAGTTTTGCTTTGTGGAGCTGCCTGGTCACCCCTCTGTAGGACAGGCACTGTCTTGAGGAGACAGCATAGTAGTGCTTCCTGAGACCTTAAGGGGTACACTTGTTTGTCATGAAGTACAGAGTAGAAACTTGGCAATTTCCCCAAGTCTCCACTTCCTACCTCTGAAGCTGCTCACACTCCCCACTTCCCATCTCCTCCAATGTTTTTCTCCCTTCTCTGTCTGGACTTTGATATCAGTCTCTTCTCTTGCAACCTTCATCCCTCAGGCCTCTTCCATTTCGTGGTTAGAGAGACAGTTTAAAATAAAGCTGGACACATGTCATCCTTCCAGATGTATACTTCCTGTGGTGCCCATTGCACCAGAGACCAGGGTCTGGATGGTCCATGAGAGCTTTGGTTTATTTGTCCTGGCCATGGTTGCTATCCCTTAGGAGTATCTGCAGTCCTTGGGTGGTGCAAATGGTTAAGCACTGGACTAACTGAACCATTCAACTGGCCATTCAAGCCCACCTGGATGTGCCTCAGAGGTAGTGAAAGCTCACAGCCTTGAAAACTCTATGGAGCAGTTCTACTCTGCACTCATGGGGTGGTCATGAGTTGGAACCAACTCGACAACAACTAACAACAACAAACTTGCACTTTTCTCAAAACAAACAAACAAACAAAAAAAAAAAAGGACCAGGTTTGCTGGTCTGATAGAGCCTGGTGGAACCACTGAGACTATGGCCCCTAGATGCCCTTCAGGTCTGGAATTGAACCCACACCTGTGGCTTCCAGCCAAACAAAAGACAGGCGTAAGAGTTGAACATGTACCTGAGGTAGATACACTCCTTGGAGAGAACAATCATGGGAGAAAGAAGGGCTGCTTATGCACAGGGAGATACCTCAGGGGGCAGGGGTGTATGAAAGGATGGACACAGAAAAGAGGTGACTATCGGGAGGAATGGGAGGGAAGCTGTTGCATTGGGGTAAATTGTAGTCAATGTCATGAGATGAAGTATATGTGAACTGCTGTATGGAAAGTGAATTTGCTCTGTAAACTTTCACCCGAATCACAATTAAAAAAAAAAAAAAAAAAAAAAAACTTGCACTTTTCTCACGGTGAACTTGAATTTTTGGCTTGGGCAATGTGATTCTCATATCCATTGCCTACACTTCTAGAGGGACTACCAGTCCTGCAAAAACTTTGCAGCCTATCTTTAGACTTCCTTTCCACCCTCATTCCCTTGCCTTCTTTCTCCTCCAGGTCATAGCCCCAGTCTGAGGGCCAACAGAACACACCGAGTGTCCACACCTTCCTGTTTATGTATGTTTGACTCCCTCTGCCCTGCTCTGCTTTGTCTTCCTGTTTCATGTCATCTCCTCTATGAAAACTTCTGCTGACTCCCTGAAAGAATGCTAACCACACCCTCCTTTGGGCTTGTAGAGTACTTTGCAAATACCTGTATTCCGATGCCTACTGGGATTATTCCTCTTTTTGTGGGATCCTACCTTGGTATTCCCAATACCTGACACATGGCAGGCACTCAACCAATGCTGGTTCAGCAAATAAAAGTCATCAAAAGGTAATAATAGATACAGATACCAGCAATCAAGTGAACTTTGACTCATGGCGCCCTTAAGTACAACAGAACAAAACATCAACCAATCCTGTGTCATCCTCATGATCATGGGCATGTTCCAGTCCATTGTTGCTGCTATTGTGCCAGTCCATTTCACTGAGGGTCTCTCTCACCCTCACTGGCCCTCTACTTCACCAAACATGATGTTGTCCTCTAGCGATTGATTCCTCCTTATGATGCGTCCAAAGCAAGCTAGTTGAACAATGCCCTATTGTGACCCATAAGGTTTTCATTGGCTAATTTTTGAAAGTAGATCACCAGACCATTCTTCCTAGTCTGTCTTAGTCTAGATGTGCCTCTGAAGCATGGCTACCATAATTGGCCTTGCTGATATTAAATACTAGTGGCATAGCTTCCCATCCCAGCAACTTGTTAAGGCAAATAAGAGTTATGGATCATTTGTTGTTGTTGTTGTTGTTGTTGTTATGTGCCATCAAGTCAGCCCCGACTCATAGTGACCCCTCCTTGGGATTCTGAGGCGGTATCACTACAGAAGTATATTGCCTAACCTTCCTTCCAAGGAGTGGCTGGTGGGTTTGAACTGCCAACCTTCTGGTTAGCAGTCAAGTGCCTTAGGCACTATGCTATCAATTGACTCAACAGCAGTGGGTCACTATAGTTGGTGTGTATGTGTGTACATGTTTATGTGTGCACACATGCGAATCTATGTAATGGCCTGCAGCTTTGATGAGAGTCCAGTGTGAGAGGATGTGAGTAGACTGGCAAAGTGTGAGGCCCTAGTCATGAGAGCCAGCCACTCTCCCTCATTCTTTCTCCTTCTTCTCCTCATTCTAGCTTTCACCCAAGAAGTGGTGGGAAATTCCAGGCAACGTTCTCTGTTTCCTGGACAGCTCCCTCCCCTGCCTGGAAGGGCAGATCCTCTCTGTTCCTACTTGCATCACAATCAGGATGACTAACCACCTCCTTTGACCATGTGCCAAACTGGCAGCCCCTCCTGCCTCTGTACCAGAAACTCTGGAAATTTGCTGGGTTACTCTGGGAGCCTGGCAGTCCTTAAGGTCAGGTCAGGCATCAAGTGGGGTTGAGGGGTCATGCAAGGGGGAAGAAAAGTATAAGGAGCATGGAACTAACACAGGTACTTCAGCACAGCCCTGGTGCTATTACCTCCAGTCCCATGCACAGAATCTCCAAAATCTCCGGAGTTTTGGATGTGTTTATCCTCAAGTCACCTTAGAAGTCTTCTTAGAAGTCATCTGCCCTCACGCCCCATGCCAGAAGCCCTTCTCCAGCATCCTTGACAGGTGGAATTAGGATACATCCTGTGATGGAGAGATCACTACCTCCTGAGCAGTGGCAGCAGAGAGCGCTAGTTGAGCATGTATAGTCATGCAGATTCTGCCACCAACAAACTTTCCCATCCAGCACACAGGTGTGCTCTGCTCTGCCTCCCTGCTTGGCCTGCCTGACAGTGCCCAGAACACAAAATACATCTCAGGCCACAGGTCTGAATTGTCTTGGAGAAAGTTGAGTGGACTTTGTATGCTGAGAACTTATGGCCGCTTGTAGTCACCACAAAGGCTCTAGCACTGGAACAGATAAGAGTAGAGTGGCTCAAAGTATGATATGTTCATTCACAGTCCCACTTTTTGTCCTGAGCCTTTATCATATTTCTTTTAATGTGTCTCATTGTATTGAAGAGGTCACACTGGACCCTGTCCTCCTCTAGGTGGGATGTTGAGTTTTTGTTTTTGTGTATGTAAGAATGTGTAGTGAGCTCTGGTGGCATAGTGCCTAAGGCATTTGACTGCTAACCAGAAGGCTGGCGGTTCAAACCTGCCACTCCTCAGAAGGAAGGTTGGGCAATCTACTTCTGTCATGATACCACCTCAGAAACCCAAGGAGGAGTCGCTGAGTTGGATCCGACTCCACGGCAGTGAGTTTGGTTTTGGTTTAGAACAATGTGTAAAAACGATTGTCTTAAGAGCTAGCACCAGAATTCCTGTGAGAGAAAACTGTGTGTGATGTGTCTGTGTCTGAGTTACTGGATAAGCTGCTTAGGAGAGAGAGACCCAAGACCTGTGTGTCCTTGAGAGCCAAGCTGGCCAAGGGGAAGGGCCACACTGCTGTGCAGCAAGACCAGGAGAAGCCTGATGGTTTCTTTCTCCTCCCTCCTCCAGAGAGACGAATGCAGCAGGCAGTGAGGAGATGATTAGTCAGAGACAGCTGGGTGACAGGTCACTAAGACAACCCCAGTAGCAGTGAGCAGGAAGGACTCTCAAAAGGCTAGTGCTGAATTAAAGCTCATTGTTAGCTGCAGAGTGAAGCCCCATCCATCTCTCCTTAACTCCTTCCCCAACTGCCTCAAAAGTTTCAGTAAAATATAATGTGCGAATCAGTCTGTGTGCAAGTGGGAAAGATGAAGGGCCGTGCTTCATCTCCAGATTGATGTACTGTTGCTGAGTCAGCACACCAAGAAACAGTATCAGGGAGCAGTGTTCATGGGAGAGTATTCCTCTGGGGTTCCCACGTTCTTGTTGTTGTTGTTGTTGTTTGCCATTGAGTCGGACCCGACTCATAGTGACTCCTCCTTGGGTTTCTGAGCCAGTGTCACTACAGAAGTAGATTGCCCAACCTTCCTTCCCAGGAGTGGTTGGTGGGTTTGAACCGCCAGCCTTCTGGTTAGCAGTCAGATGCCTTAGACACTATGCTACCAGAGCTACTCCCACTTTCTTAGGCAGGGCTTTGGAGGAATTCAAGTGGATTTTCTAGATCTAAAATGACATTTGGGTTACACAT